TCTTGCTTCCTTTTGCTTCTGCACAGGGGAGCCACTGTGTCTGGTAGCTAGTAGAGTTCTAAATAACAACCCAGTAAGCAAGGAACATTAAATTAACGTTTAGAAATATTGACTTTATGTGTATTTTTTAAACGTTTTTTAATAATATTATACACATATTTGAAAAATATTATTTCGTAATATGATTTTTCTGAATGTTGTTAAAATATTTTGAAAACGTTACAGAAAATATTTTTCAAATGTTACTCTGACATTTATTTGAGATCAATGCAACAGTTTAAAATTCCTTGTAATTTGGACTCAGAAATAACGTTGGTAGTATATTAATTTTCTGTTGTTATAATGTTATCGTTTTATATTGTGCGCAACGCTCATCTCGACAGCCATGATGTACATGATTATCCTACATACGATGCGTGAGTGCGTATACACGTGTGTCAATCGAGGAGTGCGGAGTGCTCTTTATTTACAGCATATATTTATATATAAGTAGTAACTATTATATTCTAAAAGTTGTATATTAATGATAAGAATTCAATTAACCATATACGTGCTATAATTATTTGTGCTATGAATAGTAGCTGGTGATGTAGGATTCATTTTCCGATTTACAAGAGAGATTTACAAAAGAGAGGAAATATCAATTAATTTTTTTACGTTCTATAATAGATTTGTCCTTGGACATTAAAAATATCATCAAGGTTCGTCAATGCTATTATTTCAATGGTATCAAACAGTGTAACTTTCTATAAAATAACCTCAAAATTTAGCGAAATATGTAAATGATAACGTATAAATAAGCTGGTACACTATGCATGAAGACGATTTGTTGAAGTATTGTGCGGCTTTAATACATCATTGTTTGCATATATCACTGTAAAAGTAATTTAGTATAAAATTGGTATAAAGTTGATAGATATGTAACAAACGATCAGTACAAACAAGACCAAAACTGACTTTTATTTATTTCTATATTTATTTCACATATATGTGCTATAATCACACTCTAAAGTATATAAATAGATTATTGTAAGCATATTTTATATGTACAGGGCAATGAATATGTCTTAACATATGGGATCAATTGTTGTATCAAATTCAAAAAACCACCATTTGAAAAATTTGATCCTGGCTAAGATAAACATCAGTGAACAATATATTATAAGGAAAACTCTGTACAAGATACTAGAAATGCTAAAAGATGACCAAGAAGCTTTTACACAAGTCATAAGTAAAGCTCTGCTTATTATAATTAAATTATGTATATATTAAATTACAACCTTTTTCTTATCTAAACTATATTGAATTCTTCTTGTTTTAGAGGCTATTAGACAACAATCCCTTGTAATACAGAGAAAGACTTGGAACACTCTATAATGGAATAGCTTAGATTTGCAAACATCCGTAAACAAAGGAAAAAATCTTAAAAGGTAAAAAAATAATATAATGTATTTATGTCTGTTAAGTTAGCACCCTCTATAAAAAACCGGAATAACACATATGCAGAAATTAAGTGCTCTTTATGCGTTAATTATGTGCTCTATTCACGATTTTTGTGCTCGAGCAGTTTCGTGGGAAACTGCAATTGAAACTGAGGGTGCTGGCTTAACGTAAGCTAGCACCCCCACTTATTAAAATTACATATAAAATAAAAAACTCAATATGCTAGAATTATATGCTTTTTATGTGCTTTCAAATGCCTCAAACAAAATTAGTCTATCTGTAATAGTTTAAAAAATATACGCAAAAAAGATATATATACTACTGATATAAGAATAAAGTATCAGTTAAAATAGAGAAAGCGAAATAATTCTTGTCTTAAAATGTTTCTCGATTAATGTGTTCTCAAAATATGCACAATGAAATTTTTGTGCTTATCCCCTTCGACCGACCTGAACGTGAGTACCCCATACGTACAAGAGTACCTAACCAGTTAAAATACAGGTAGCAAATTGGTTTTAGTCTTAAAATATTCCTCAATTTATGTGCTCCTGAAATATGCACAATGATTTTAAAAGCATAAAAATCACATTAATTTTTTTTGTTAATGTAATTTTTTGATACAAATTTTTTAAATAAACAATTATATAATATCTAAATATTCTATTACCATATTCTTTTATACATCATAAAACAAATATATCCTTCAAGTATTAGTCACGCAATTGTAGCGTGAACTGTACTGTACTATCATTCATGTAATATTATCATGAAAAACAATACACAAGAGATTCTATATAAATATAAATTAAAGTTTACTGAAGAGTAACTAATTTTGAAAATTTTATTTTGTTTCTATTATTAGAAAGGGAATGTTAAAAATTAATTAAACATATGTTTACTTATATGTATTTATATATTGTTCAGAATCTCAGTGACCCATTCTCCATAATATTTAGCAACTTTGCAATACTTACTCCTAACTCATATTAAATAACTTTAAAAATGTATACAAATACATATACAAATACATATAAATACATATAAATAAAAATTTTTCTGAAATCTTATTAAACAAGTTAATCAATACATTAACCAAAACAAAAATCTTATTCTGTTTATTTTGAAAACACATAAGTTGAGGAACATTTTAAGACTAAAACCAATTCGCTATCTATATTTTAACTGGTACTTTATTTTTATACGTATGGGGTGCTCACGTTTGGGTCGGCCGAAGGAGATGAGCAAAGAAATCTCATTGTACATATTTTGAAAACACATAAATTGAGGAATATTTTAAGACTAAAACCAATTCGCTATCTGTATTTACTGGTACTTTACTCTTGTACGTATGGGGTGTTCACGTTCGGGTCGG